AAAAATAATAATAATATAAAAAATAAAAAAGAAAGAAAAAGATAGATGATGTCTGACTGTGTTGCTTAGGCTGGTCTTGAACTCTTGCCTCAAGCGAGCCGGATGACAGGCACGAGCCCAGCCTCCCTGGGAGTTATGTCTCAGTCCTGCACCTCAGGCTGAGGCCTCCCCCTGTGTGCACCCCTGACCCCACCCCAGGCGGAGGAAGCCATGGCCACCTACCGCACCTGCGTGGCCGACGCGAAGACGCAGAAGCAGGAGCTGGAGGACACCAAGGTGACCGCGCTGCGGCAGATCCAGGAGGTCATCCGACAGAGCGACCAGACCATCAAGTCGGTGCGTGGGGGGCTCCGGCCGCCCGGCAGCGATGGCGGACAGGCTGGCCCCCTCCTGACCCCTCCGCTCTCGGGTGCCGCCCACAGGCCACCATCTCCTACTATCAGATGATGCACATGCAGACGGCGCCGCTGCCCGTGCACTTCCAGATGCTGTGCGAGAGCAGCAAGCTGTACGACCCGGGCCAGCAGTATGCCTCCCACGTCCGCCAGCTGCAGCGGGACCAGGAGCCCGACGTCCACTATGACTTTGAGCCGCACGTCTCCGCCAACGCCTGGTACCGCCACCCAGCTGCCCGGTCCCTGGTGCCCACGTCCCTGCCTGGGAGCCGGGCTTCCCTCCATCGGGGGCATGAAGATGAAGCTGCCTTGTCCCCCATCTCTACCCCTCCTTCTCCCGGTTTCTCCCACTAGGTCCCCCATCATGCGTGCCCGGAAGAGCAGCTTCAACGTGGGTGATGTGGCGGGGGCCGAGGCTGCCGGCAGCCCCCCAGATGAAGGTGGCTCCATTGAGGGCACACCTGCCAAAGACCACAGGGGTGAGTGGCAGGGCCCAGGTGTGGGGCGGATGCTGGCTCCCTGGGGCCCACTCCGGCCCTTCACCAGAGATGCCTCTTTCTCCAGCTGGCCGAGGACACCAGGTACACAAGTCCTGGCCACTTGCCATCTCAGACTCGGACGCCGGGCTGGACCCCGGCCCTGGCACAGGTGAGGGAGGCACTCGGGCGGCCTGGGGTGTGGAGCTGCCGTCTCTCCTGGGCCTCAGGGGTTCGTCACGCACCGGGGTGATGGAGGGGGCCCACCAGGCTCAGGGAGTCTGATCGGCACTGATTCCCACCCAGGGGACTTTAAGAAGTTCGAGCGGACATCATCCAGTGGCACCATGTCGTCCACAGAGGAGCTGGTGGACTCGGAGCGGGGACCCGGGGCTTCGGCCTTCGAGCAGGGTGAGGGTCCCCTGACAGGGCCAGGGAGATGGGGGGGTTTGGACACAGTCAACGGGCCTGGCCCTGACCTGCCTTGGTGACACGGGCCGCCTGTGCTGCCCACAGCTGACCTCAATGGCATGACCCCCGAGCTGCCGGTGGCCGTGCCCAGTGGGCCGTTCCGCCATGACGGGCTGTCCAAGGCAGCCCGAACCCACCGGCTCCGGAAGCTCCGCACGCCCGCCAAGTGCCGTGAGTGTAACAGCTACGTCTACTTCCAGGGTGCGGAGTGTGAGGAGGTGAGTGGGACGTCCCAGCGGACAGCGGGGAGCCTTGGAGGTGCCCGGCACCACCGGCCTGTGTGCCCTCGGGAAGGTCCCGCCCCGAGCAGGGAGCAGTTAGGAGCCTTTGGGAGGAAGCGAACGGAGGGGGTAGGGTGGGCTCTTTTAGGTTTGGGGGAAGGGTTGGCCCTCTGAGGCATCGAGTCAGCAGAGCCAGAGAGTGAAGCGCCCCCAGGGCATCTGGGGATTGCATCACAGGCAGCGGCCATAGCCTGTGCAAAGGCATTGGGGCTCAGGCCAGAAAGCCAAGGGTGGGAGGGAAAGGAGAGGAGGCTGGAGTGGCCGGTGGGATCACCCCTGGGGAGGAGGCCATTTTCCACTGTCTAGCTTGTGTTTGCAGAAGCTGCCGTTTTGGTGGCAGTGAGGGCCCGGGTAGGTGGGTGGAGCCGGGCACCCTGGGGCTACGCTCACTCACCCCGGCCTCCCCCAGTGCTGCCTGGCCTGCCACAAGAAATGCCTGGAGACACTGGCCATACAGTGCGGGCACAAGAAGCTGCAGGGCCGCCTGCAGCTGTTCGGACAGGAATTCAGCCAGGCGGCCCGCAGTGCCCCCGACGGCGTGCCCTTCATCATCAAGAAGTGCGTCTGCGAGATCGAACGGCGGGCGCTGCGCACCAAGGTGAGGCAGGGTGGAGGTGGCTCCCAGCAGGGAGGCGGGCGTGGGCTGAGGCTGATGGGCCCCCCACCCCCGTGCCCTTGCAGGGCATCTACCGGGTCAATGGGGTAAAGACGCGCGTGGAGAAGCTGTGCCAGGCCTTCGAGAACGGCAAGGAGCTGGTGGAGCTGTCGCAGGCTTCACCCCACGACATCAGCAACGTCCTCAAGCTCTACCTGCGCCAGGTGAGACCCACTGGAGGTGGCCTTGCAGAGCGTGGAAGGAGAGTAGCCGGTTGGGAGGAGGTGGGGCGGGGGCCCGGAGCTGCTGCAAAATTGTCTATGCACCGGGCCTGGAGTGGGGTGGGCGGGACAGCGCCTGGCGGGGGGCGCGTGGTCAGGGCCGGAGCGGGGCGGGGCCAGATCTGTGCTGGGGCCCCGGACGGGGACTGGAGCTGGGTGGGCCACGTGGGAGAGGCGTGGCCACGGCAGGAGCACATCTGACTGACGTTGTGCTGGGGCGGGGCCAGAGGTTGGTGGGGCGTGGCTAGAGCAGGATGGCCATGTTCAGTGCTTGGCAGGGACCCCGAGGAGGGTAGGGGCCGGGCTGAGGCTAGGCAGATGCAGGGCTGGGGGTGGGGCCTGGGCCTAAGGGTGCGTGGCTGGGTCAGGGTGTGATCAGGTCTTCGCAGGGGCGGGGTTGGGGCTAGGGGAGAGGGCACGACCGGTTAAGGGTGGGGCAGGGGCGTGGTCATGGGTGAGGAGGGCGGGGCTGGGGCTGGGGGCGTGGTCATTGCGGAGAGGATGGGGGCTAGGGGCGTGGTCATAGCCACGGAAGGACAGGGGCTGGTATTGGGGGAGTGGTCATAGGTAGAAAAGGGCGGAACTGGCCTGGGGGCGTGGTTGTGGGTGGGGAAGGGCGGGGCTGGTCTGGGGGCGTGGTTGTGGGTGGGGCGGGGCGTGGTTATAGCCACGGAAAGGCGGGGCCGGGCCGAGCTGGGCGGGGCCGAGCTGGGCGGGGCCGAGCTGGGCGGGGCCGAGCTGGGCGGGGCCGAGCTGGGCGGGGCCGAGCTGGGCGGGGCC